GTTAATGGAGCTACTGGGCTCAGCGCGAGTGTATTGGTCCTCACAAGCACAGTATAACAGGAATGTGTGTGTGGCACGCAAACTTAAAGGGCAGTATTTTCAGAGCCCCAAGACCATAAAATTCTGAGACGCTGATTGGCCATTAAATTATTAAATTCACCTAGCAATAATACATGTTTGGCAGATTCTCTGCACTTGTGGGGCAGTCTAATCAGCGCTCCAAGACAGAGACGGTAGGAGTCTGTCTGTGGAAATCCACAAATGAATGACAGTAGATAGGGAAATGTAGTTTATATAATTTGTTTTGCTTATAGGTACAAACTCTAGAGAGTAAAACTGACATGTATGAGTTAATTTCTAAAAATATATTTTACGTTTCTCTCTTCTTATCAGGGAGGGCGGTGCCCCAGCGCCCCCTATGGGCCGGCCGCCACTGGAATGTAGACATGAAATATTTTCAAAATAGTTCTTCAAAAGCAGCCCTATCTCTGCCTAACCTCATCGTAGTACAATTTATAACGTCTAGTCAAAACTCAATTCAGTTTGTTCATGAAGCGCCAATTTAAAACACGTCCTCTTAACACACTTTACATAATCAAATGATTCAGACTGACTGGTTTAATGTTGTATTGGATAATTCACTCCTAAATGACCAGCTAAAGATGGTAGACGGTCACCTACATTGTCCCTCATACTGAGTGTGTATGCTGGAGTAGAGAGGAAGAACTCCCAGAACACTCCATTGAACATCAAAAAACAGGCCTAACTTTATCATGATGAATGTTGTTAATGGCAGCAGTCCAGATGATGCCTCCTTCAGGCATTGTTTCATGGCCAAACAGGAACAGACCAGATGAAGTTACTATGAAACGAAAAAAAAACAGAATATAATGCCAAAAGATGGACTAACCAATAATGCAAAATAGGAGAATTAAAATGTATCACAGTGAGGAACAGTGGCCTCTATGTCCTCTAGCAGCCTAAGCCTATAGCAGCACGACTGTAGAGGAGGCTTCTACAATTCCCGTTTTCAAGGTTCAGTTTGCTGCACATTTTAGATGTGTCTCTGCTGTCATCTTTAAAAAAGTACTCAAAAGTACATCCATTTAAAAGTACTTAAGTATTCAAAATTACAAATTAAATTTTCAGATATTACTACATTTCTGTGTAATTTTCTGAGTAATTTTGCAAAACCTTGTAACTTGTATTCCACCTGATGTATTGACACTCCAATTTTACACCACCTGTAAAGAACTTAAGCATGAAAGTGCCGCAAAAAATAAGGGCAGCTATTTTGGAGAAAACAGGAGCGTCCAGATTATCCTCACAGTTTCACTGTGAAATAAAGGTTTAAACTTCAATCTATTACCACAAAGAAACTACACACCTGCTTTGAGAACCTATCCTACTGAAAAACTTGGCCACAAGGCAACAACTAACACCTTAATGAAATTTGTAACCTACAGATAATATCTGACCTGAGTTTCTCAGTCCCCAAGGACTACTATCTTGCATGTTTACACGTTTTAGTTCTTCACCCTGGAGGTAGCTACTTCCTCCTCAACATGTCAAAGCTCTGCATATGCCTGCTAATGAGCGACCATTTGACCAAAGTCAAAAGACCATTTGAGTAAAAGTTAAGTATAAAGGTACTCCCAAAAGCACTTAAGTACAGTAATAAAGTACATTTTCCAAGTTATTGTCCACCACTGTATGGGTACAGTGGCAGCCATTCAAAATGGCCCTTCCCAGGCAAACGCCAGCCGAATGGCAGCCCACTTCCCTTCAACTCCCAGTGAAATCCCCTCCAACATCCAGCCACTAGCATATTTTTCTACTCTGACTCCACCCTTTCACTGAATTACAGGGTCTGACCAGGAGATGGCGCTTCTCTTTAGCCCTTAATGTCTGCAAATCATGACAGAGTATTTTAGTACAAATATTGTTTAAAAAGGAATTGTAGGGGATTAGCCAAGAACCCATCAAGCAAAGTGGGGAAATTTTGAATGGCTACTACTGTATATATGTCACAATTGTTATCTTATATTCACTTTGAATGACAGACTCTAAAGCAAAGGGGGCGGAGCCACTCCTTAGCTACTGTTACTGGAAGACCCAGCCATGACCCATGTTTAATACCCTTACTCAGTATTACGGCCCATTATGCTGAAATGCATTGGTGAGAACCCTGTTGCATTCTTCATCAGGAGCCTAGGTGTAGTGAATGCTCTCTGATAAGCCTTTCTATTGTCTTTCCACTCTACATCCATAAACTCTTTAAACATCACCCTGCCTCATCAGTTTTTAATCAAAGCACACATGGACAGGGAACACGTGTCTTCCCATTTCCTCCGGTAGTAGATTTCTACTGTGCATATAAACATGCTTATATTAATCTTTACGTGTCCATCCAGGGCTGTTGGTAATCTGACGTACGGCTCTGCCTACAAGGAGTTGATAGTGGACAAACTGAGGAAGGCTGCAGAACACTGCGACTGTCTCCAGTGCTTCTTTCTCATTCACTCAATGGGAGGAGGTGAGTCACTCACACATTCTGATAGAGAGAATAGATTCTTCAGAGCCAAGTTTGTACAAAAATTGCGATATTTACATTTAAGGCCTGTCAATCTGGTATAACTTCAATATCTTTTTTTTTAAGTAACAAAATAGTAGATGTGATTGCAAGCTGTTTTAAACTAGACATAATACATTTTTTTTGTTTACAGATTTTTGCATCTTCTGAGGTGTAAAGCTCTGTATGTGTAATGAACTGTTTGTGCAATCTGGAGTTTCTTCAGCCACAGAAGACACTTTTATTTTGATGCACAGACATACAGTGAGGCTTTTACCCTGCGTCCTATTAAAAAGTCTGTCTTTTGCTGCAAATAATCATATTACTGACATTTGATTTTTTTTTTTTTAAGTGCACCAACAAACCACGAGTGTGCAAAAGTTAAGGAATTCCTTTCAAAGAAGAGAGGTTGCTGATATCTAACAAAACAGACATAAGAACGCCACAAAAAGCCCTAAGTTAAAAACTGAGCATTTCTTATGTTGAATTTAATCAACACTTTGGTGATAAATCAACATAAATTAGCTTACATATTTTCTTGCTGTACTTGCTGTCTTGCTCACTGTACTCGTTCGCTATGGATTAATGATGTCAATTGATGCTGATGATGGCAAGTCAAGAGAGATGCTCCTGTGACTTTGTGGACCTCAACTATGTTTGAAAAAGCTTCAGCTTGGAGAAACTTCTCTCTGGTCCAGCTGCTGCTACTGGAAGAGGCAAACCACAGCTTGGGATAGATTTCTGCAAGATCCTGAAATTAGAGAGCGCTCCAAGCTTCTCTCTCACCTCCTGCAGTGTGGAAAGTCTTTCCTGAACAGCTTAAGTTGCAGCATCAACAACAATGAAAAAGGAGACCTCCAGCTTCTTCTGAGCGTCATGGCTCATCAAATTCTTAATGGGAGAACCTGTACTGTGTGGACCTCAGTGGTTTGTTTAGAACAACCTCAAACTTCATCCTCATAGATGTCCTTTGCTGACATCTTTGCAGGATTGTTTCAAAGTTAAATAGAACCTAGCTGGAAAAAGCTACTATAAAACGAGGAAACAGAATAATCCCAAAAGTTGAACTGACAAGTAATGCAAAATTGGAGAATTGAAATGTATCACAGTGAGGAACAGTTGCCTCTATGTCCTTTAGCAGCCTAAGCTTATAGCAGCACAACTATAGAGCAGGCTTCTACAATTCAGGTTTGCTGCACAATCCAGTTTGCTGCACATTTTAGACGTTTCTCTGCAAATCCAGTTGCAACACTTGTTGCATGCTGGGAGAATGCATCAACTTGCTCACATGATGTTTCATACCACAACTCTACAGATGCTGAAGCTGTAGAATCTCGCCTCCTCTGACAAGGACTGGGCCTCAACCTTAATGATGGGGTCTTAGGTGTGATCTCTCACCTCAGTCGGTGCTTTTCTCACACCAGCTGCCTCATATCTCAGGGGCTCAACACTCTTCACTTGACTTCCCCACCTTGTGTCAGTTCGCATCTTCAAAGTGATACCCACGTGTTTTATTTTAGTGTGGCCCATCTCTGAGTGGAGGCTGAAAATAGGGTGAAAGCTTGTGTATGATGCCAAAATAGTTCATGGAAGCTTTGGAAGCAACTTCCACAACCAAATTCAGGATATGAGCTCCATATGGCACACAAAGAACTCCCATGTTTTTCCCCTTCATGTTTGCCCCATTGTTGTAAGCCTGGCCTCTGCAGTCCTCAAAAGGAACTTTGATCTCTTCTAGTCTCTTTATGCCAGATGCAGACCTGTTGATTTCTCTGCCTCCAATAAACCCATGCGATGTTCCTTTATGCTTGCTTCTTCCTCTGTCGGTGACACTGCAGGAGTTGATCAGGGAAGCTGATGCCTGGGGGGCACTCAACAATAATTGAGAAATGTTTTGCTTTCTTTATATCACTCTATTTCAGAAATGATCTTGCTGCCCATCAGATTGACTAATGTAGGTGGGGCAACCTTGTTATAGTCGTAGGGAAGTCATATTTAAACGTCAATTTAATAATATAATAGTGGCTTAAACATGCATATAAATGTACTCTATATCAGATGAGTTAGAAAATTTCTATTTAAAAATAGAATCCTGTCTTAAAATCGTTATCTTATGCAAGCTAGTTAGTTATACGTCAGCCTGAACACCTAAATTCGGCCAATCACATATCAACGGTCATCTGTCAATCACATTTTTTCAGTCATAGCATCTTGATTCATATGTTGCAGCTAATATACGCAATGGTTAAAATAAGAAATAATTTACTCTACCATTGAGTTACTAGCAAGAGGCCTTTTAATAGCCCATAGCTCACTGTCACTACATCACTAATAGAAATAAGCATAAATCTTGAACTTGCACTTGATGGCTTCTTTGGTCTTTTAAGCTGATCCAGTTTAAAAATTAAGGTTGGATATCACCAACTTTTCTTAATTATGTAAATACTCTACATTAGCCTGTCAATCAACTGGGATCCCATGAGTCATGTTTTCATATTTTATAACTCAATTTATCAGTTGTGGATGTTCTTATTAAAGGTATGCCGATTGGTTATTTCCAGATGGATCATCTCAATAAGAGGTCCTCCTAATTGTCAATCAGTTCATGCACACTTTCAGGCATATATATATATCTGTGGTGAGCTAAGGTTTCACACAGTCATTGAAGCTCACCTTTCTCACCCCGGTTCTTTAAAAATGGCAGAGGGTTGGAAGAGTGTCTATGAAGTGTATGAGAAGAAACGAAAGGCCTCAGAAGAGACAGATCTATCCAAGATTGCTTTTCACGGAGAGCTTTCTTCACAAAGCACTGTGGGATTTGCTGTTACAGAGGCCCACTGTTGCCATAGGCTGTCACTACCTGACAGCGGCGACCAATAAAAAAGATGGAGAGGAGTTACATGACCAAGGCAAAAAGCAGTCATCATCTGTCCAAAGGGTCAGTTAACTGTGTCCCCACTATATGTGAACACAGTAAACTTGTATGAGCTACGACAGGGGTGCCCCACCAGTCGATCGCGATCTACCAGTCGATCGCGGGCGGAGTTTCAGTCGATCGCGAGAAGTTTTACAATGTAGACCTATTTATGGCTATGAAAAAAAAAAACGTTTTAAAAAACAGTAATCAAATCATTGATCACAAGATGCCAACGTCTATTTTCATAATGATAAAATGAAAAGTAAAAAGTATGCAGGGAACCTTTTTTATGCATTGGAATTGCTGGGCATGGTTTGCCACGGTTGCTAGGGTGTTACCAGGAACTCTAAAGTGCGAAGATGAATCTGCAGAGATAATGAGATAATGACATCTATCACAACTGATGGGGCTCCATCTATGGCTTGGCGCACTGCTGGATTCGTTGCTCTTTTCAAGCTGTCTGAAACTTTCCCGGATTTTTTGGATCAACCGCTGCATCATTCAGCAACAACAGCTGTGCGGCAATATTTTAAATATGAAGCATGTCATGGACGTTGCGATGAAGATCGCTTGCTCTGTTCAGGCCAGGAGTTTTCAGAGGCGTTTATTCCGTGCCCAGCTCGGGGAGGCAGGTGCAGACCGCACATTGATCTGCTGCTGCACACCGACGTCAGGTGGCTGAGCCTTGGCAGATTCTTTGAAAGATTTTTGGAGCTGTAAATTTAAACTTGTTCTGTATATTTATTTCCAAACTTCCACAGAACCTTTCAGTAGCAAGCTACATTCAGAACTGCCCTCTCGCTCTAGCCTCCAACCCTTGACGCCACGCGCCCCATTGCATGCTGGGTATTGGAGTTCAAGAGCTTTCCGGCTCATAACATCACAGGAACCTTTGCCCGAAATTAAAGAAACGTCAACAACCCATTCTGCTGTATATTACAGCTTCACAACCACATAGTTTGTACTTAGTATTTTCCTATTTTTATCTGTTTTCCTGTTGAATTTTAATCCATCTGCCAGTTTCTCTGCCAATGCCCACTGAAGTTTATCATTCTGAAATAGTGGACTTCCCTTCTCCTTCTTCCTGCTTTGAAGTCATCTTAGACTTAGACAGATCTTATTTGTCATTTTGTTTACACAAGTGTAAACAAAATGACATATACATATATACAAATATATATATATATATATATATATATATATATATATATATATATATATATATATGACTGTAAATTTACAGTTCTGACGTTTTTTGTTTTATCTCTACTGGACTGTGTTCATCAATTGGTTTATTTAGATTTTTTTTTCTGCACAGCCTTTGTCTGGAGATCTTGACTGCTCTTTTCCATAGTGTGTGTGTGTGTGAGTGAGTGAGTGAGTGAGTGAGTGAGTGAGTGAGTGAG